AGCCAGAAGCGCCCTCCCCGCTGCCGGGCGGGTCACGCAGAGGTTGGCGCGGGGTTTGCAGCCCCCTCAGGAGCCGCCGGGCCTGGGCCGCGCACAAAGGCCCGTGATTTAATGAGGAGCAGAAACAAAATCTCCGCTTGTTGGCGTCCCCAACTTCATTGGCGTCCTCTGGCAACCACAAGTTGATCCTCGGCGGCTTCAATACCCCCTCGCCTCCCCTGTAAGAGTACATGCTGAATAGGGAACAATGCCCGGTTGTTATGTTTATTTACCCTTCCTACAAGCCGGGTTAACCTCTTCACAACAGCTTCACTAAGCCCGTTAACCGCGCGGCCCAGCTGACCCGCGCCGCTATCTCCAATGTGATGCAAATCCGCCGCCGGGCCGCGTGCGCCGCTCGCTACAAGTTTCTGGCCGGCCCGGCCCGGCCCACTCCCCCGAGGCGCGGCCCTGCATCGCCCGCGCTTACAAACGAAGCAGGAGTCTGGCGTTGGGCATTGTTTTTTAATGGCCGGGTACATTCCGGGGGTGATTTGTTTCCTACCAATGATTTCACCTCTTCGAAGAAGCAGGCAGAGTCTGGACTCCAGTGCGGGAGCAGCCAGAAGCATCTGACCTGGTTTTTCTGTTCCAACTTCTTTCTAAAAAAGGCTGATTTCCTCCCAGCCCAGCCGGTGGCTTTGCTCCTTCCATGAAGTCATCCCACTGTCTTGGCGGGGATGATGGTGATGTCACACAACACTCTGACTTCACCGCTGGCCCCCAGGACCCGGGCTCGGTCCTACATAAAAATCCTATGGCGTTTTGGAAGTTAGAAAGGCTGGTGAGAAAATTAGGACAGATCGGTGAAATGTAAATGGATTTCTGCTTAAGTCTGATGTATTTAATTTTTTCCCCCCAAAGTATTATAGTCATTCTTTAAAATAGCTACTGTGACCGCATGGGGAGAGCTTCATTTAACAGATCATTTTTTCTTGATGGCTGTGGCAAGCGTAACAATGTTCTGTGCCTGCTTCAGTAATGGCATGTCGATCATACTCCCATGGAAAGTAAAGGCGCCCTGGAAAACAGAGAATATAAACTTCCTGAAAGAACCTTTGAATATTAAAGAGTGCAGTTTTTTTATAGCTCTGTATCTGTAGAGCAAGAAACATGCCATCCCACAAGAATCAAATCGATTCTTCTTGAACACTCTGGTGAGAGCCAAACTAAACATTAAAAGGCAAATTCTAGGAAAGAATGAAAGAAAAAGAAAACAAAAACATAGAAAAGGGTAGGAGAGTTCAGCGCTCACAAGATGAGAATAAAACCCCTACCTTTCATGACACTGTGGGATGGAGCCTGTCTATTGGCCCCCAGTCTGAAAAATGGACCAGGGCAGAAATGATGAGCCACATGCTAGTGCATGGTGAGCTTCAAAGTACTGTGCAGATTAGTCCAGAAACTCTACTGACATGGGAAACAATCCATACCAGCTGTAATGGAAATTCCTAAGGACATAGAAGCTTGGACAGGACCAGGCTCCTACTTATGGTAAGATAAGGCCATCCTTATCTCTTTACCATAAGCTTGAAATCATCACATAAAAGCAAGGAGCTGGAATGGCTAAGAATATTAGTCTATGTTTAGTGGCACTATATATTAGCTGCTTTCTATTTAAATGTGCATGTGGTACTAGATTAGCCCAAATTCCTTACATTTGTGCAGATGCAGTACTTTGCACATGGGTAGCACTTTCCATTAGTAGAATACAAAACTAATTACAACCACATAGAGGCAGCATTATATTCTATAGATAAAAAATAGAAGCAGATGTGTTGAACACTAGGCTGTTTGGAAAATCTCTTTCAGTTACATCTATGACGGTGCTGTAGTGAATTCTGGTGGCTCTATGCTGCCAGTCCAGAACTGCTGGCATCACTCTTCTTTTCAAAGGCTCCGGTTGGTAGGTTTAATCCAAGATCACAACAAGGATTTGCGGCATAATTGGCAAAAGCAAATAATTGTTGCTTTAAGGTTCCCCAATCAATACTGCTAACAAAGTATGGCATACAATATTGAGTTACTGCACAGTATTGGAGACTGAAACAGACTACTTGATGTCCAGTTTGGACTAAGGATCAGAAGAGTAAAAATTCAAGAGGCAGTGGAGGTTTTTAGGCTTTTCCACCTGCTTAGTGAGCCTTAATGAGACCTGGTCATACAAAGATAATTAGCTACAAGCCACATTAAAAAAAAAAAGCGCATCTTGCATTAAATAGGCCTAAACCTGCCCACCCCCACCCCCACTGTGGATGCTTTACTCTATTTTTCATCTGATCAAACCCATCAGTAAGCTCTAAAGCTTGTGTTAAAGAAATAGCATTTTGAAGTTAAAATGCTTTGCAGCAAAATAGCCAAAAGCTGATACTGCAGGAATCCTGCTTCCCACAAGAACCATGGGCCCTTTTAACATTTAAAAAAATAGATATAAAAAACTGTGGTTACATAAAAAAATATCTACTGTGGCCGAAAGTGAGCTGGGCATTTGGATGCAGTCCCTTCCCTGAGAAAATGAAGACCCTACTTCTCCATGTGTCAAGTGCCTTCAGGTGGACTGCTGCACCCACTTGAAGCTATACTGAAATACACATAAGCTCATGGCTTAATTTTAGATGGAGTACAATAAGTGTCTAAGAAACAGCAACAAAGACATAGGGTGAGGAAAGACATTCTTGTTTGGTTGTGTGTTGTATGCATGTGTGGAGGGAGGAACTAAAAATGAAACAAACTTTTGTTTTCTAGTTATCAAGTAAGGACAAACTAGTAAAACTGAGGAATCCAGCAAATAAAATGATATATCTACCATTTAAAAAAAATGTTTATGAAAAATATTGCTTCAGTGATCTCTGACATTTAGCTTGATTTAAGTATTATTAGTTAAATACTAATCAAATTCTAGCATAACTAAGCACAATTTTAATCTTATATTGTCATTAATATAATTTATTATTGTTTGAAATGTGGCTACCCGACCAATTTTTAAAATCATTAGCCCTGATATTTTATTCTATTCGATTCTATTCTGGTTTCCAAATCTTGTACATCACTACAGTATCGTCGAAACAGGTCTTGTTGACTGAAAGGGGTGTCTGCAGTGACATCATAATTCAAATCAAGCAGATATGTAGATGATACCAGTATCAAATTTGTCTTATTGTTAAAGCACTCAGCTTGCTATAGGCTCTATAATAATAGTCACGTTAATAAATAATAGTCAAAAGAATCTCATTTTAACAATACGGCAGCAGCTTAGATGTGTTCTGTAAGGCATTTTTAAAAAGCTGACACGATCATAACTTGCTAAATTTATCAGCTGTTGGAAGAAATGAAGCAAAGGTTTTAAGACTTCATGTTTATTATTTACCTCATTGTTCAAAATAGTACTGAGTTCTATGGTCTTGAATAATGAACAATATTTTTTGTTCTTGTTAAATAAAATCCACTTTACAAGTGTATCTATTTTGCTATAAAAACCAGCTAATTAGTGGTTTGGAACAATGTGTGTTCCAAGGATTAATTCAGATGTATCATAACAGTGGTACGTGGACATGCACTATATGCTCTTTCAGAAGACAGCATTTTAATAAATGGTGCTCCTGTTTATTATCTGTTATTGTTAAAACAATAGCTTGGAAGTTTAAAGAGAAAAAACAAGAAAAATAGCACATGCACATGTGAAAGTAGGACAGTTTTAAGGTGTAGTGTGTTCCCCACATGCATAGGTAATTTTGATTGGTATTGATTAGCATTCTACTTACACATTAAGAGGAAAAATGTGCTTTAATATTAAATAGTAGTTGGCTTCTCTGCTGATTCACTCTGAGGTTTAATTGCTTCCTGCTAATTTACCATATTGAGCTAAAGTCCAGAAAAAAGCAACCAATTTTGCTACCGTTGAAAATATTTTATTCACGGCAGCTATTTCCGCCCCCAGGTTTCAACAGATAGAAAATACCAGTAATTGTGGTTTTGTCCCTGTATTCTCCTTTCCAACTACCCCAGGTGAAATTTGCCTTTTTTTTGCATCTCCCTTCACATTATTATAAAGAAAATATGATTCTCTATAAACATCGTTTACTTCAATGGAGTTATGCTAGGGATTAATTTAGTCCCAGGGCTAAATTTTCTTTTTGGCAAGCAGTCCTAATAATCTCACATTTCTAGCCTGTACTTACGTTTTCTTGTAGTTAAGCTGCTGAATCAGAGAACTAATCTTAAACAAACTTTCAGCATGAACTGAAAGAATGATCGGTGTCAGGTTGGGCTTGAGACAGCTTGCGTTCTGTTTGTTTCCTCACCCTCCATAGAGCCAGTATAAGTCAATCAGTTTTCCCCCAGTCTCTTGTGAAAAAAAAAATCTATACTTTTTAGCATAACAGAGCTTTCAAAATGTTTCTTAGAGTGAGCGACAGGCAAACCTTTAAGGTTTGGGGATTTTGTTTAGGTGTCTTCTGAAATATAAGCTCTCCTCTTCAATCGTTTTTGGAATCCTTTCCTTTTCTCTGCATTATCTCCCAGAAGCATCCACTAGTTTCCCTCTTTCTCCCCTTCACTTTCCCTCTTTTTCACACCCCTGCAACAGGATCCTTCCTTCTTTCCCAACCCATGATAATACCCTAGGGCTCAAGCAACCCTTGAAGTATCTCTGCTGAGCTATTCTCTATTTAAATGATGTCTACATCTGAGCACCTGAAATTTAGCATTGACAGCAACAGGAGAGCAATTGAAAAGCCAACATAACTGCTGGCCTATGGAGCAGAACCCTTCAAAGTAAGGGGGCTGATATTCAACTGGTGTGGCATGGGGACAGTCATAGGGTGGAAGGAACTAGGGACTACTGTGGTAGCAGTAGGTGTAGATTACAATCACACCCTTTCCGACGGACAGGTGGGCCTTGGAGCCCGGTGCCTTGTAGTCAGCATTTCTTTTTATCTAAGCAATTACTCAGGAATGCTTGTGACAGAGGATGAGATATAAGTTCTAGACACAAGAACTCCAGGCAGTTTAGTGCCTCATGCTGGGGATTTCAGACTCTTGTTTCATATTCAGTGCACACGTTCCTAAAAATCCAAGTCCTATTTCCCTTCCCAGGGAGAAACTGATTTAGGAGGAAAATTAGTTCCTCAACATGCAAAATGCACATCTGGATACCTTGGCCATTCTGAATGCCTTGACCAGGGAGTGAACAGAACTGAAGATCCTTATTCCTGACACAGCTCAATGGATGAATGTAGTGCTTCACAGATACATAATGCAACTTTCCAAAGTGAGGGCTTGATTTTTTTCTCCTAAATGGAGGAGCTCTGAATGCAGTGACTGCAAATGGCAGTGGCCCTTGTACCAAGCTCTACACCAAAAAGGGAGCAGGATGAAGAGCTCCTTCCTTCTTCCTCTAGCACACCTTTTTAAGTGCCAGCCACAGCCTTGCCCTAGGAAGGGCCAACACTGGGTGCAGTTCCTGTTTTGTCACAAGCAAAAGGGACATTACTTCCTTCAGAAGAAAACTTACATTTTTTGTTTTTTGTCTCTTTCTGAGCAGCTAACAGACATGCTCTGTTTGCTTTCACAAGCCTTGAAGCTTTTCTGCTGTCCTAGATATGCAATTTCTGTAGTTTTTACTATTCTCTCTTAGTCCCAGTCTGTTGCTTTTCTCTTTTTCCTGTTCATTTTTCCACTGGAAATACACTATATTGTTTCTCTTTCC